TGTGTGTGTGGCACTCCCTCAGTACTGACCCTCCAACAATGTGGCACTCCCTCAGTACTGACCCTCCAACAGGGTGGCACTCCATCAGTACTGATCCTCCGAGTGGGGCACTCCCCTCAGTACTGATCCTCCGACAGTGCGGCACTTCCTCAGTACTGATCCTCCGACTGTGCAGCAATTCTCAGTGCTGACTCTCCAACAATGTGGCACACTGTCAGTACTGACCTTCTGACAATGCAGCACTCCCTCAGTACTGACCCTCCGACAGTGCGACACAACCACAGTATTGACCCTCTGACTGCGCGGCACTCCTTCAGCACTGACCCTCTGACAGTGCAGCACTCCCTTAGCACTGACTCTCCAACAGTGCGGTGCTCCCTCAGTGCTGACCTTGTGATAGTGCAGCACTCCCTCAGCAATTGACCCTCTGACAGTGCAACATCCCCTCAGTACTGACCCTCTGACAGTGCGGCACTCCCTCAGCACTGACCCTTTGACAAATATTGGCAATTTAGTTTGGATGAGAGGGAATAATACCTTCTGGTATAGCTTCTATTCTTGAATACATTTGAAAAGAGAGCCGTGTTGTCAAAGATTTTTATTTACACCGATCAGGACAAATGCAAGAATGCCAAAGTTCAAACAATCACGACAATGTAGTCCAGGAGAGGAGACTGTTGTTTGGTTGTAGAGTTGACTCTGACTGGCCATGGAGAAAGCAACAGGGAATTATAGACTCTCCAAGCTCGTGGGTAACTCACTAAAGGTGCAAGGCTTGAGCATATTCCTGTGGTGCACTCTGTATCTGCAATAAATCCTTTTCTCAACATTCTTGCTGAGGAATCTTCGTGAGTTCTCTACTCCAGCCTGCAACAAGTTTGCTGCACTCGGAAAAGGGTCAAACTCCAACACATTTGGACATGATAAATGCCCAGTCTACCTAAGACTGGTAACAATAAAGTCTTTCAAAAATCTGAACTGTAGATTAAACAAGCTGTTACACACTGCTAAAAGCAGCAGCTATGCAAGCGGCATAGGATGTTACCATCTGTGCAAAAAGTTCTGCCTGCCATACAACTGAGCAATGTGGTGTGTGTATTTCCGTGATGCTGTCAGTTCAGGTGCCCTACATCTGTGCAATTGGCTGACTGAATCAAACAGCCTGTAGTTTCAGTTAGAGTCATGGAGACTTACAACACAGAAACAGACCCTTCGGTCCAACTCTTCCATGTCGACCAGATAGCCTAAACTAATCTGGTGCCATTTGCCAGCATTTGGCCCATTTCCCTCTAAACATGCCCCCATTCATGTACCCATCCACATGCCTTTTAAATGTTGTAACCTAAAACAAAGCATTTACTGTTCAATATAATCCCATGGTCGGAAACCACCTGCTGATCAATCCCGAGTGTGCTAATAGATACCCTAACAATGAATTTAGTATAAATCAATCAACTTGGTAATGTGGCTAACTTGCTAGAAGCAACATGACGTCATCCATAAAACATGTTCTCTGCAAAGAAAAGGAATCTGTTCAAACCTTGTGCCTTTTTTTGAAATACATAGAAGCAATAGGAAGCCCACAGGTCCCCATTGCTTTCTCCATGGCAACACCTTACCAAGCAAGAAATTTTCCAACCTATCAGCACCTATTTCTGTTGTAGTATAAATTTTTGTCAGAATTTGTCATTCTTGCCTTTGTCCTGATAAGTGCAGAAATGAAAGCTTCAACAATGTGTTTCTTCAACAAAGTCCCCAATTCCATAATGAGAAGAAAGGTCTTGCATTTCTGCTGAGTCATTCATAACCTCAGTGGGTCCCAGATCAGTCACAAACAGTAAAGCAATATTGAAATGCAGTCATTGCTTTAATATGGGAAACTGAGTAACCTATTTGTCCACAGCAAGCTCCCACAAACAGACAGTGGACAGGCTTTAGGGAGTCAGGAGGTTAGTGACTTACCACAGTATTCCTAGCCTCTGACCTGCTCTTATAGCTACTGTGTCTATTTGGCATGTCTAGTTGAGTTTCTGGTCAATAAGTCCCAGGATGCTGACAGTGGGGCATTCAGTGATACTAACACCATTGAATGTCAAGGGGCGGTGGTTAGATTGTCTCTTATTGGTGAAGGTCATAGCCTGGTATTTGTGTGGCGCGAATGTTACTTGCCACTTGTCAGCCCAAGCCTGGATATTATCCAGATCTTGTTGCATGTGAACATGAACTGCTTCAGTATCTGAGGAGTCGTGAATGGTGCTGAACATTGTGCAATCATCGGTGAACATCCCCACTTCTGACCTTATGATGGAGGGAAGGTCATTGATGAAACAGCTGAAGATGGTTGGACCTTGGCACTACGTGAGGAAGACCACTACCATCTGGAAGAACAAGGGCAGCAGATACATGGGAATACCACCCCACCTCCATGTTCCCCTCCAAACTACTCACTATCCTGACCTGGAAATAGATCACTGTTCCTTCACTGTCACTGGATCAAAATCCTGGCATTTCCTGTGTCAGGACATTGTGGGTCAACCCACAGCATATGGACTGCAGTGGTTCAAGAAGGCAGCTCACCACCCCCTTCTCAAGGGCAACTAGGGACGGTCAATAAATGCTGGCCCACCTCAGTAATCCCCATGGCTGATGAGCAAATAAATAAACTGCAGCCCAGATGACTAACCTCCAACAACCACAAATATGTGCCAGGTATGACTCAGGTTTCTGATTACCTGTGGGGTACAGGGTAATGGGTGTGGAATAGGTGGATGGGCCGAAAGGCCTCCTCCTGTTCCCATTCGTTTTGGCCAAGACCCCGGAGAAAACCGATGCGCTGTTTTCAATGTGGGGGGATGTTTTAGCTCCAACAAGGTGCAGACAGGTTTTGAGTTGAATGCAGTGTGGGGCCGGAGGGGTGGGGGTGGTGGTTAATGGCCGGGGGGGGGGGTGGTTAATGGCCGGGAGAAGCTGCCTCACGGGGAGACAATGAGAAAGTGAAGAGGCCAGTGAGTGGCCCATGGAATAAATAAGGGGTGGGCTGTGGGCTGGGGAAGAGGCTCCCTGATGTCCCGCCCTAGTTTTCAGTCACTACAGAGCCGTTGGGCTGAGTGGAGGAGTTCCCTGTGCTGCTGCCGGGCTCCGGATCCTAACGCTGGTAGGTGCGCGGCTCTTCAACCAGGGAAGGCGGCACAGCCCGAGCCTCATCTCGCCCCCACCGCGGGCGGGGAGTTTGAGTTTTAGTCAAATGTTACTGAGGTTTGGGGGGTCGTCCTGGGCGGTTTGAAACAGTAACTGAGGGTTTCTGTGCGGTGTTTGGGGGAGGGGGCAAGAAAGAAGATGCAGGAATTTACCTGGGACTGGGGTCTGGGTTTGTTTCTTTTGTTCTCCTAGGTGTCGGGTCACTAACCCGGAGCGGTGGGAAAAGAGATAGAAACTGGCTGTGTGTGTCTCCCACACCGTCTTTCCCCTTTTCCGTTTAAAAGGTTTA